TGTCAGGAAATTTCTCCTCAGTTCTAAGTTGCTTCTCTCCTTGATTAGTTTCCACCCATTGCTTCTTGTTCTACCCTTAGGTGCCTTGGAAAATAGNGTCATCTAATATTTCAGTCTTGTTAGTGCTCAGCACGTAGTATAGTGTTCCTATATAATAATATCTTCTAGGAAATAAAGTTTGATTATTACAAATTATGGAGAAAGGGTAGAATGTCAGATTTTTTAAAAAATGTTTTGGATAGAGAAAATGCACTTTGCTTCAGAATTAATTATGTGGACAGAAATATAAGCAATTTTTGTTCAAAACACAGCAAGGTGATAGAATTGAGCACAAATAATTATTTATACTGAAAACCAGACATTTAACGTAAAGAGATCAAAGGGTATTTAAGTTACAGTAGTGATTTGTTCTAAGGGAATTTAAAAGATTTTAATTTTTCACTTGAATTAAGATACGAATGACAAATACTGTCCTGCTGACACAGTTAATACAAATATAATAAACTATATTGCCTTTTCCTGTCTTAGCTAATAAAGAATTAAAGAAAGTAATTGTTCATTTACTCCATGCTGGTTCTCTTTTCTAGTTAAAAGAGGTTGCTATTCCTGTACTGGTATGCCTTTAATTTAGATATGAAGATAAGTAACAGTAGTAGCTAAATATGCAATTGTTAATTAGTTCTGAATTGGATTAGGTACTAATAGAAACCTGGTGAATTGGGGTATATAGTATTTAAGGTTCTCATCAGAAGTAATGAGGTTTTTCAATGTTATTCATCAGATCAGCATTTAAGTTAGCAATTAAACCTCACTGTGAAACATTGTCTTACCTTGGATTACGTGTAGCATTCTAAATAAAAACCAAGATGTTCTAGTCTACAATTTTGTATATTTCAGTGTTTCGTGATATATACTGTATATGCTTAAGGTTTACTGAAAGTAATTCATTCACCCTTAGACTGATAGATTAAAATTTAAAAGTTCAATTTTTGGAATCTAATATTTTAAATCTTTATGTTAAAATTTAAAAGTTCAATTTTTGGAATCTAATATTTTAAATCTTTATGTTTTACACATCAGCTTTTAAAGTGTTGCTTAAGACAGAAATCCTAATAAATTGCAAGAATATGATGAATTTTGTAGGATCTCATCACATTACTGCTTTGAATAGTATCTAGGACTATGCAGCCATTTATATTTTTAAGAGGAAAACATTTGGATGCCTTCATGGAGCTAAATGAAGATCAGTTGTAGCTGTGGAAAAATACTGTGGCCAGAAAAGTCAGCTGAACACTTGTTACTGGGATTTGGTGGTGGTGGTGGTTAGAGTATAATGTACTTGCAAATAAAATTATACCTAGAAAAATGTTTTCTCTATTTTGGAAGCCATATATAATAACCATAGTGCTTTTTCCTTTGTCTTTAACTTAATGGAATGAGCCTACCAGGTGGGAGTGGGATCATGATCACTATTAAGTGTAAACAATTTAAGCCTATCTAGAAAGAGAGAATCAGTAATATGAAATTTAAATAGTGTTTCATGAATATTAGGAGTTCAAGGCAAACCTGAAATAAGCAAAATGCATGTTGACAATCAAGCTTAGCCAAAAATGTCTTATATTTCTTAATACAACTAAGACCAAATAAAAGTTTTATGGTTGTGGGTCCTCCTGAGAAGGCATTTGCAGGGGGTGTGATGGCACAAATGTTTCTATCCTCTGGTTTAAAATTCTAATCAGTTCACATGGATGCTTGAAGAATACTGTAATAAAATTGAATATGTTCATTCTATTCGTAATAAATCACACAAGATCTTAATGCTTTTAAGAGGCAGACTTGTCAAATTCTCACTTCTGGATATGTGAGAGATGCTGCAGGGATTGGGAAGGCGTGTAAGTGTGCACCAGAGATGCCATGTGGATTGGGAAGGGCACATAAATAGTGTGGGTCGGGAAGGGTAGTTGAGGATTGTTTGAAAAGTGCTGTGTGAGTCAACATGGGGAGCCAATTTGTGTAGAAAAGGGTACGAGGAGGCCATGGAGGAGGCCATGCAGGTCAGGGAAGGTTCATGGGAGAATATAAGAGGTGCTATGTGGGTTGGGGAAGGTGGCGGGCAACACAAGTCATGGAATGGGCAAGTGACACAGATCAGGGAAAATGTGCTTCCCTTCCGACAGCTAAGTGTTGCTAGGTGGGAGAGGAAGTGGGGGATTGCAAGCCTGGCTAGGAAACTGTCACCAAACATTGAAAATGAAGATTGTGTAACCATTTGAAGTTATGATGATGCAGAATGAAGGACTTATGATGGGTTCTTGAAATTCTGGCTGTTGTATTGCTCTTGCAGTAAGGTGAAGAAATTTGCCCCCCCCCCCTTTACAAATGCCTTTTGGCTGCCCATCTACACACTGCCACCAGCTGCTCCCATTGCCTGGTCCTGCCTACCATTCTGTGTACCACTACTGGACTGGACTGGGCCTTCTTTCATAGAGGTGCAGCTTGGCCTTCTCTTGCAACCCAATTATATTTAAAACCAACACTGTAATTTAATTTCAGACTGATATTTGTGGGAACATAGAGGCTTGCATGGACAGTTTTGCCATGTATGGTGTCTTAATTGAAAACTTCCAAAGTGGTATTTTGTTTTGGCAATACAGTGTTTTTAATGCTGCTTCTTAAGAATTTTTTACTTATTGGATCTTCATTATTTTACTTAAGCTATGTTCCATTTTAATCTTCTCATGGTTCTGTTATATGAATGGAAATAGTGTCTTCAAATAAAGCTGATAAGAAATTGTGACTTAGTAATTATAATTACATAGATAATATTCATTGGTGTGGATGCTGCAGATATTCTTTGTATTACAATAACTTCCATAGATTTTAGAGTCCTAATTAATGATATCATAGGATCATGCTTTGTCTAAAAAGTGCCAGAGTATAGTTGTATCAGTTTGTATTCAGGTAATCCGTTTATGTGACCTAACCAGGATAGTCATATTGTGAAAATGTCATTGCATTCTGCAGAATTTTGAATGTGCCCATTGCCTCCTGGATTCTTGTGTCCTAAAAAGACTTTATTTGAATACAGACATGTATTGCATGCTAGAATAGAGAAAAACTAAGCAACACTTAAGAGGAAGCTGAAACATTTCTGCTTTTGCACTTGTTCTACATTTTAAACAAAACTATTATTGATAGGGATGGTTAAATCCAAAGAGCATGCTTTTCAAGCTTAAAAAATGAGTGTAATTGTTATGTTAGTAACTTCATTTGCATGCCTCAATTTTAATTAATTTATTTTACTTTAATCTGTAATGCTGATTTTTGGTTAACCACTAACATTGGTTAACACAACCTTTGTGTTTAATAATGCTTTCATTTTTTAATGTGTTGGCAAAAAGTTATTTGAAAGGTAAATGGCTCTGAATTAAGTCATAATGCCTGTGAAAGAATAGCAGATTTTACATTTTAAAAATAGACTGTATAACTGGTCTTAGGTGTATATGATATATATTTCTTATTCTAAAACAGACTTCATTAATTCTCAAAGCTTTCTGGATGCTGTTAAATGTAAGACTTAGTACAAAAGAAATACTTTTGGGTTGCCTACCTTTAGAGTCAATTAAAGTACAAGCTATCCCAGATAATAATGTCCAGGATTGGCTGTGTTTAAAGGAGGAGAGAAGGTTCACAGTAGTCTTATTATTCTCAGCACTATTAATAGCACTCAGTTTTGGTGTTTCACAAGTAATATTTAGTTACAACATTGAACTCAAAGTCTGCTTCGCATAGGATAATGTTGAGTAGCAGTATTCTATAGGGAAAATATACTGCTCAAAAAAATAAAGGGAACACTTAAAAAAAGCAATGTAACTCCAAGTCAATCACACTTCTGTGAAATCAAACTGTCCACTTAGGTAGCAACACTGATTGACAATCAATTTCACATGCTGTTGTGCACATGGTATAGACAACAGGTGGAAAGCATAGGCAGTTAGCAAGACATCCCCAATAAAGGAGTGGATCTGCAGGTGGTGACCACCGACAAATGCGTGCACGACAAAAGCGTGGCAAGAAAACCGCGGCGAGAAAACTGCGACGTCATAAACGCGGCCACAACAATGCGCCGACAAAACCGTGCCCACAAAAGCGCGATTCAAGTTAAGGTAAGGGTTAGGTTCAGGGTTAGGTTTAGGGTTATTAGGTTGTTATTAGTTGTTTGTTGAAGGCGCGCTTTTGTCGGCGCGCTGTTGTCGGCACGCTTCTGCGCTCATTTGTCGCCACGATTTCGACTTCGCGGTTTTCTCACCGCAGTTTCATCGGCGCGCTTTTGTCGGCGCGCTGTTGTCGGCACGCTTCTGCGCTCATTTGTCGCCACGATTTCGACTTCGCGGTTTTCTCA